ACTAAAAATAAAAAGAAGAGGAAATATAATTTTTTCCCTCTTCACCTATGATCGTTATCTAATGTTATAAAAAACTGAAAGAAAATGGGGCTTTTTTTGTGTGTGTTTTTGTGTATGTGTTGCCAAAACGCAAAATGTTTAGTAAGCAGAAAAAGAATGGAAAAAAAAAAAATGAAAGGTCAGAAAAGAAAAAGGTGAGGAGAGTTGGAAAAAATATTCATTTTTTTCGTTGGTTGATTTCCTTTTCTTATTCCCCTTTTTCTTCTTTTTCAAGTCCTCCTTTTCTTCTCCTTCTCCTTTTTCTCGCTCTCTTCTCCTTCCCCCTCTTTCCTTTCTTCTTCACCATTTTCTTCTCGTCCTTTTTCTTCGTCATTTTTTTTTTTAAAGTCTAATGCATTGGCCGATCGAGCCGCTGAATTGGTTTTTATGTAAATGTGCTGTCAAAAACGATTTGAAATATTAAGATTTCTGAAAGAGCTTTTGTTTAAAACTTCGGAAACAAAAAAAAAATAAAAGAAAAGAAAAGAAAATGAGAGAAAAGAAAAAGAGAAAAAAACAAAGAACAAAAAAAACAAAAAACAGAAACAGAAAAAAAACTGAAGGAAGGGAAGAGAAAGGAGAAATAACGAGGAGATCTTTTTGCAAAACATTGTTCCTTTCCGAAAAAAAATTTCATTTCGCCATTTTAAATTTGTGTAAACTGGAAATTTGAGGAGCTTCGAACGATTATTTCAGATGTTTGGCATTTTTAGTTGGGCCATTCTGCTTAACCAACTCGCTAATTGGGTTTCTTCTACAGCTTTTATCGGCACTCTCCAAGCAGTTTCTTCCTTTCCTCCCTCAAATCCTGTAGCTCCTTCTATTCCTTTTCCTCCCTCTTCGCCGTCCTGATTAACCATTCTTTTCGTGAACAGCATTTGTTTTCCGAACAATCGTTGCTGTATGCTTTTACCCCTCCCTCCCTCCTGGTTTGCTTCACCATCCAATTCAACAGTCCATTCTGAGCTAAATTAATCCATTCATTCAGGCACCCATCCATCTATCCACCCATCCGTCCATCCATCCACCCATCCGTCCATCCATCCATCCATCCATCCGTCCATCCATCCAACCATTTATCCATCTATCTATTTATCTGTCTATCTATCTGTCCGTCTATCTGCCTGCCCCTCTATCTATCTGTCTATTCATTTATTTGTCTATCTATCTACCTATCTATCTATCTATCTATCTATCTATCTATCTATCTATTTATCCACCCATCTATCCATCTATACATTTTTACGAGCAGTGTTTCCAGTTTAGAAGATCGTTTCTTTCATTGGATGAATGAAGTACCGAGCGAGAAGCATATTGCTGCACTTAGCACACTTTTCCAAGCTAAGAAAAAAAAAAGAAAAATAAAAAACAGAAAATGGAAAAGAAAGATAAATTTGCATCTTTATTTACTGTAGTTGAGAAAATTGTATAGCAAAAGTGTACACTGCCGTTGCTTTGTATTTCTGTTTGTGTTTCTGCGTGTGTGTTTCTTCAGATGTCACCGATGGAAAAAGTGTTTCTCTCTTCTCGTCATCATCCTTCTTTTTCCCGTTTTTTTCTCCTTCTTTTCTCTTTATCATGCCAAGAGGAAAAAGTAGCAGTATGGTTATTTCATAAACTTTTAATTTCTCAAGTTTAAGTTTTAATAATTTCTTTTGTAAAATTAAAAAACTAATTAAACTTTGAACGAATGATTATGTTCGTTTTTTCTCTTCAACTTACTCTTGGTTAAAGCATATTTTTTGGGTTCATATTTTGGTAGACTGTCGAAGCAGAAGAAGAACAGATGACAGGAACAGGAAATGTATTCCTGATGACCGTCAATGTAATGATCCAAAAACAGCAATGGCAGGAGCAGCAGGAACAGCAGCAACAAAAACAAGAAATTTTTCAGCTTGAAGTTTGATTTATTATGTATTCATTGGAGATGTTAGGAAAAATTAAGGCAGATAAATAATTAAATAAATAAATAAGCGAGAAAAAAAAGCAGAAAAAGAAAAAGAAAAAAGACTAAAATCTTTTAATCAGACTATGTTTTCTTTCCTCATTTTTTCTTCTTCTTCTTTCCTTTTCTATTTCCACTAGAATGGGAACTTGTATTTCATTTTTTGCTATTAAAAAAAAAAGAACAAAGAGAAGAACAAATTTTTACACTCAGAGATAATTTGAAGTCAGTATGCAACAAAGCATTCATAGATCTTTTCTGGATGGAAAAGAGAACAAAAAAAAAAGAGCTAAGAATTGACTGTTGGTATTTCAGCGAATAAAGTGTTTAAAATTAGAAGAATTTTTTTTTGTTATTTTTCTTTTTTTTCTGCTAACAATTAAAATTTTTTTTAAAATTTTTTAGTTTTTTTCTTAAATTAACTGAATGGATTGGAATTTAAGGAGAAGAAACTAGGGCTAAGGTTTTTTTTTTTTTTTTTTGTTAATGCCCGGTTAAATAATGGCAAAGATTTTTCATCATTATCATGAGAAGAAGAAGAAATCATCAGAACAAATGAGATTTTTAAATATTCTTAATCATTTACAGTGCTCTTCTAAGTATCTTACCACCTCCGCCTTTTTAGTGCTTAGCGGTAGAACAGTGTAAAATCTTTCGGTCTGTTTGTTCCCGATAATATTCTCCAGAAACGGATACTGCGATAACTGTTGTATCGTTGATGATTTACAAGTTGTTGCATAGGTTATTAGTGATTTTATTATCATTACTTCTGATTCTGTTAAGTAATCTGATCTGATCGGTTGTTGCTGCTGTTGCCGTTGTTGTTGTTGTTGCTGCTGCTGCTGTTGTCCAATGTCAATCTTAATCTGATGGTGGAACAGCAGCAGTTGTGTTATCCGACAGTGACAGCGGTGCTTAGCTGCTGTTCCATTAGGCACTCGGAAACTAATTAAGTCGGGGGGGATGTTACAGTGAAATTAATATTGGTTAATTGGTTATTTCCTATAGTAAATAGCCATCAAAACCACCACCAGCATCATTATCACCAACACCACCAGCAGTACCACTGCCACCACCACAGCGACTGATGATTACCAACAACAATGAACAACAACAACGGCGACAACAGAACGACGACGATAAAACTGCTAAGAAATAATAAAAATAGAAATAAATAAAAAAAACAAAAATAAAAATAAAAAAAATTGAAAAAAAAAAAAAAAAAAAAAAAAAA